TAGTGAAGTTAAACTCAGCGCTTCATACATAAATAAACAGTGACATAAATTAGTAAATGAGTTCATATTGCAATTTAGTTAGTGTTATATTACTTCTTGTTTGTCGTCTTTGATAAATTAAGATTGACAGAATTTTGGATTTTAATAAAAGATCAATATCCCCTTTTAAGTGATAAGGCTCAGTGGATTCTAATTACATTTTCGACGTCGTATTTGTGCGAAGCTGGGTTTTCGGCGGTCGCTGTAATAAAAAGCAAGTATATAGCAAAAATCAACGTGGAAAAGGAAATGAGGGTGACCGTGTCCGGTTTAATTCCACGATTTGAAAAAATGTGCAGTGATTCCAAGGCGTATCCATCATATTAATTATTAAATATTAATTTAATGTTAATTAAGTAAAAAAATAATAAAGGTACACGAGGTATATTTATTTTTATCTCTTACGAATAGTCATACTTAGGGTAGGGCGCCATGGAAAAATTTTAATTAAAAAAGGGCGGTCTGCGACTAGGAAAAGTTTGGGAACTCCTGCCCTAGACTCTGACTCTTTGTCCGTCGCTCCCCTGGTGCTGTTGTTGCCCTCTGTGACCCTCTCTGACTGAACACTGCCCTCTTGCACCAATATTACACTCAATTATCGTTTCTGATTTTTCCCGCATCGAAATCGTCGCCTGTAACTTTCCTGTCTCGTTTTCTTGTTCCTCTTTACAAGGCTATGGTATCCCATACGGTGGCACAAAGCCAAGCACATATATATCATGAATATTTTAGATCTACGCTAAAGTTGTAAGGATGATATTCTGCTTTGCTGATGCCTGTCATACGACAGAAGAAAGCTTAGCACGTTTCTATCGGGACTGAAGGAGATTGATTAGGAAACAGCGTCAACAAGATTGTTCCAGTAAAGCCAATTGACAGCTGATCAAGAGGAATCCACCGTCGTCTTCTGGTTGGATCGACCTATAAATCTCTTCACCAAATACTTCCACTTGATCTGGAATTGAGCTCAACAATTATGAGCTAAGATATTTCTCGAACCCTAACTCAGGTTGGCATCTTAAAACCATAACAGTAGAAGATATACCTTTCAGTCTTTGAGTAGCCTAAAGTGATCAAACGTGATTAATTTTTACATTCGAATACTAACATAAAAAGGTACTGCCCTGTTCAGGTTTTTCTCAACTATATTGACAGTTCCACTATATCATTGTTGTTATAAGGGAGTTATACATATATTTATTTCTATTGAACATTCAGCTCAATATTAACAACATATTTGAACCCATTATCTATTTTAAAGTTGTCTAGCCACCAAAATAAGGTGACTAATCATAAGTTGGACTTCACACATTCCCCTGAGGACTTCCAGTCACACGAGATTTAATTATATATAAAAAAGGTTTTCTAAATTGGAACATTTCCTTAGAGCTTGCTCTTGGGTTTAGTTACTATGACCTTGATAAATCCGTGTTTAGCTTTCTTCTGTCATGTACATAAAGGTGTGAAACAATTTACTTCAAAATTCACCACAAGCTTACCTAAAATATGTTGTCCATACTGAAATTCGACCTGCTTCCTATAACCAAATTGTGTCTAGACGTTTCATGCAAACGAACCACAGGCGGTCTAGATAAGGGAACATTCACTTTCTCACATCAACATCAAATCAATGCTTCAGCTAAATTCATCCGCAAGAATGTAGGGTAAATCTGATATAGCAAATTACATCACGGTTTTTTATTAAGAGTTATTGTCATCATGGTTCGCATATAGTGACGAACGATAAGCAGTAGAATTTTTCTACAATCATACAAGTCGTCCCCAAGATCCCATGGAATTGAATTTGGCCTTGCCTCTCAACGTGTATTTTTATCCAGGTTGGACTGCAAATGCGACCTCTTATCAGTACCCCCAACGGGCGTGAAATTAGGCAGGTGCAGCCTATAATTTCGACATGTTAACAATACATCATACTGCTCACTCCTATAATTGTGGGAAACGTCAACTGTTAGCCTATCATCACCCTATGTGCCCCAGGCTGACTATAGGTCTTATTCAACATTAACTGATAGTATACAAACCTACTCAGTATGAATCTAAGCAAAGTAATCATTACCTAAAGCAAAAAGTATATTTGTATCATCGAAAATCCCACAAAAACAATTAACTAAAAAAGAGGTCTGCCTCGCTTTGCAATCCGCATCTGCCATGTGACTATGACAATGTTGGCAGTGTGGTGTGTCGTCGACATGTGGAAATTACATGTCGCATTACCAGGGTTAGATTTCCGTTGGGGAGGCTGATGACACCTTAGCGGAGTTAAAACTGCAGTATACTCTGAATGCGAATTTCAGTTTGGAGGTAAGACTAACTAGAATTTAATGGCAGTTTTATCACTTTCGGAAAATTTAACAATAAACTCTCATCAGCTTATGCGATCCTGGCTGAAAAAAGCTATTATTCAAGATTTAATAACAATATCGAAACCGAGCAATTATGAATCGAATTCACAGTTTGTCTCATTACTATCGCAAAATTAGGTTATAAGTAGTAGTTTGGACAGTAGCCACCCCTCATTCTTGTCTTAGTGTTCAGTGAATGGCTGGAGGATAGTTTCACGTTCTGACGATGATATTCATACCTGGATATTCAAAAGCTGGGCAGGGTTTCATCAGCTTGACAGGATATTGGGCTGGTGGCCTCTATGCTTAAAGCATGTTTCACGACTCCAAGGCATTATACCGTTGATTCTTGATGATGCCAATTTACAAGTTCACGTTTAAAGGAAATAAAGATTCCAAATTTATTGACAGCTATAATGTTAGGAAAGAGGTTTCACTGTTTTAGTAAATATCAATGCCAATCACATGATTTTGTAAATATAACTTTTGAAATTTGTGTGAATTTATGTAAAATGCTCTAAGCCATGCCACTCAGGTTAGTCTTTCAACTGAGTAATATATATTTAGAAAAATTGTTTGACCTTGTTTTCGCAACATGGTCATATTGGTAGGAAGACTTAGAGGAAGGCACCTAGTCCGGAGTCAATTGCATGCATGATTATTTTCAAAGTCGGAACGTGGACATGGTATATTCACAGACGCTTCGCCGGCATTGTAGTAGGCATCGTCAGTGAGTCTTGACATTCTTAGCACTCGTCAAAGATATAAGGGAAACCGATCCTTTCACCAAATGTGTGCTAAACAGTTGTGGTATCTCTCCTTCTGTCATGGGCTATTCACTTCTCCTTTATACTCCTATCACACCTTCATTATCACAATTTTTCCTTTCTTATTTAAATGTTGTGTGGTGTGCCCTTTTGAGCGGCTTTCATGAGAACCCTCCACCCTCCACGCTGGCACTCTCACCCTTCTTCACTTTTGTGCTGGGAATGTTGCTCAGAGTCTGCCATATTGTTACTAAGTCCTCCTTCCATAGGTCTTGTCAGAGTCTCCCTCTTGCCTCGTAGGATTCGTTTGATATCGCCCTTGACCCCTGCTACCCCATCTGTGCTCCACGAGGCGTTATTTCCCGGTAAATCGGTTCTATGAGATGTATTCACCCTATTTTGCTTAAGGTGATGAAAGACTGGTAGTAGCCTTTTTCCACAAGAATATGAGTAGAATAGACGTTTCCATTGAATTTCACATATCCTTGCTTTTAAACAAGTTGTTCTCATTCAGAGTGGACTGCAGTTTAGATCTCGCCTAGGTCTTATCAACACCCCAGCGGGAGTCGAATTGTGACAGTGCAGCATGTGAGATTGAAACGTTAACCGCTCGGCCACATTGCCACAGGGCAGATGTAAATTTCAAGGAAGGTCAAGCCTTTTTCCCATATCACATTCTTTGATTGGATAAGATCTACTTTTGGGAAAGCAAGGCTATGTTAAATTTAATGGAAACGTCAGCTCTAGTCATATCATTGTGGGAAAAGTCCACTACCAGTTTTTCATGACCTTAAACAAAATAGGGTGAATACATCTCATATACTTGGGTATTGTTAGCAATAAAATTATGGCTATAAACTAATGGATGAAGGTATCGTCAAGTCTCTCCTAAATGCCAGAAAAATTATAATTCTGTACATGAGCTATTTAATCATTCATCAGGCTTTTCCCTAATCTAAAATTCTAGTCTGTCTTAAATATGAGTACAAAACCTAAATAGACTCACCGTAATATTATTCAAATCCACGCTAGCTTGTACCACCTATATAGTCTTTGTAACAGGCCTCCTTAACATAGCCTCTTATCCCGCTGGGCTTAACAAAGCTTTAGCCATGATCATATTTGAATTTGTTCATAAAATTTGGTTATGCGATATTGAATGCGCCAGCTTTGGTAGGGCAGATAGGGGCGCCGACGGCTCAGGGCAAACATACGTGTCAAATTTTTACTAGGGGCAGCGATAAATCCTTTGCAGACGCGTCTGAAAAGTATTAAAAATACAGCACCCTAGAGCAAAATAAATAAGCTGTCTTCCGACCACACCTGGAAGCACACTTGGATCCAATAACACCTACTCAACTCTGGCAAGGACAGAAAAATGAAAGATTTGCAAAATTGAGTGGAGCGCAGCCGGCACCGTAGTGATATCGCCTATTCGTGGAAAGATCTGTTACTAAGGTTTGGTTGCCCACATGGCGAAGTCAATGCGACTGTGACAGCAACTAGGTTCTTATATTTTGCAGATGGTCAGTTAATTTACCGAATAACGCACTCATTTAGTGAGGCCATAACATCAGCTGCTTATTTATGTTCAATGCTAAAAATATATTGTCTCGTTAGGACGGAAACTTTCAGAATGTGGGAGATATTTCGATGAAGATGCAATTTATATCACACATAATTTGTGAGTTTTTCCGGGGATTAACATCAACAATGTGAGGAAAGCAAGTGAAATCAAGATTTGGTGAAGTGTTATGCAAGATTCAATAGATCATGGTTCGTTTAGGCGGAGGTGCGTCAGGCGAATGCGAGGTCGCATGGAAAATTTATTGAATATCAATGTAGTTTGGCTGGTCAAGTGATTGGTAGGAATGCAGGCGTTGACGTCCTCTACCAGAAGTTGGCTCGTTGCCAGGAGGAAACGCTGTGTCGTCTCTGAACGAACTTTGTCTGTACGTTCCTAGCTCCGGATGACCTGTCGTCGAGGCTATTCCACGGGCAGCCGCAGCAACTGAAAGAAAAGCGAACTATGGATTACTGCAACAGATAATTTATTTTCTCTTTGATTGAGCTGGCAAAACTCAGCAATATCAGCATGTCTACAAGAATTTATCCGACTTTTAGATAAACGCTAAGTCTAATTATCCTACCCATGCAACATCCATTTCAGTTTATCGTCAGGGTGGTGCCTGTCAGCTTTGGTTACTGTGCTAGCATTAACAATTTAAAGGCTGTGACCGTACTGGCGAACGAAAGCTTAGCACGTTTTCACCAGAATCGACGGAGATTATGCTGTAAAAAACTCCAACAAGAATGTTCCAGTAGAGCTAATCGACAGCTGGTCAAGAGGAATCCACCGTCCTCTTCTGGTGTGATCGACCTTCGAATCTCTTCACCAAACACTTTCACTCGAAATGGAAGTGACCTCAAAAATTATGAAACAAGAGATTCCTTGAAACCCAACTGTTCTTTCCATATACTGTAAAATAGGTCAACCATAAGGCCTCCGATAGTTGTATTTTTCCCCAATTCTATAAGTAGGCCTCGCGATGCCATGGAACTTCACTTAGCCTTGTCTCCTAAAAAGAATTGTTATCCCGGTTGGAGCACGGCTTCGACTACCCAGGTCCGATTGACTTTAAGGATTCTGATACGACCTAAATAAAGTTGAAATTGTAGTCTAGTCTGAATGAGACT